TGTTGATTCTCCATTACTCACAAAGCTTTTGATGACCAATTTATCAAGCTTACATCCACTTTACAATTTATAACGTTTTAAATAGTACTAATTACAAAAGCGTACCAAAAGTTTCACACTCAGCTTTATTAGTACAGGTCAAGTTTACCGCTGAAAAACTTATACCGCTTTTGGTTACGAATCGGACCATTATGACATCTACTTAACTTACTTTTGACATTTTCTTCCTAAATAGTTGTATGGTCAGAATCCCACGTAAGAATAAAAAATATATATTATTATTGCCGAAGAACCAAATAGAAAGAAAGAAAAAAGGTTTTATGACGAAGTGAGAGAACCTTTTGGTTCCTGAGATGGTTTATTTCTAACATATAGACCGACTGTAAATAATTATGAATATAATGAAAGATAAAATAAGATGAGAACGAGAAGAAAATAGTACTCCTTCAACATATCATTTTTCCCTCTATTTTAGATTTTGTTTACCATGAAGAAGCTCTATTCACTTTTTACAAAAACAAGTGGACATGTATATTTTGATTTTATCCCCGTCATCCTCTTAGCAAATTGTAGACATATTTTAAAAGAAACTGTATAAACTGTAGACATCATTTTCATTGTTCTCTCTCGATTTATTTTGTGTTTTATCAAGTGTATAAGTAACATGGTTCCTTATGGGTTTTGGTGAGCGAAAATGTCCAAGAGAGAGAGCACCTAGGGACAGTGAGTTGGAGGCGGAACTTAGGACCGTTGTAGTGATGGACAATGGGTCGGAAAGAGTCTTCTTCGAGTGGCAAACACTTTCCTGGTGATGGCTCTGACCTAAGCAGGGAACCGAGACTCTCCTGGACATTTTTTTGTCTTGGAAAGCATTGAGCTCGATGTTGGTTCCTCCGAAGCTAGCCGCTTCGTAGATCTCGTGGAGCTGGTGAGTGGAGTAGTTGTAGAGGAAGAGAGGGGGCCCGGGAGTGATGGCTCTCACGGAGTCTCTGTATCTTGGAGGCAAACCGAAGAGATACTAAATTTTTTGTCATATTCTACAATTATGTCGGATTCTGTTGTTACCATTCACATCTAATAGTGCTACGTCAGCTGAATCATTAGTCATCTCATCAAAATATTTTTAAACATAAAT